CGCACAGTCCAGGCAGGGAGGGTGGTGGCCTGGCCACAGGAGCAGTGGTGGCCAGAGTGGCGAGGTTCTGGTCTGTTTTGAAATAAAGCCGAGGAGATTGGCCAAGGATCGGACCTGGCCGTGAAGGAGGGCGGGGAGCAGCGGACAGCGCTGGGCCGGGAGGCCGGGAGGCAGGGAGGCCGGGAGGCAGGGAGGCCGGGAGGCCGGGAGGGGAGGGTTCAGGGGAAGTGCAGGGGTCCGCCGAGGGGACTTCCGGGGGCCGTGGGAGAATCAAGACCCACAGAGAGGTCTCAGCGTGTGACAGTGATGCCACAGATCTCCATAGCAAGCCCTGGAAGGGGAGCAGAGGACACCGGTGCCCTGGGCAGGGGACAGAGTGGGTCACGGGCAGCTGCTGGGGCCGTTCCTGTCTGCATCTGCCCAGGTGCTTGCCCCGTGAGCCAGTCCGCGGAGGAGGGCGCCATCCTGGGGTTGGAGGCCGTGGGCACCATCCCAGTCCTGCGCAGGGCTTTCCTGCCAAAGAGATCATCCAGAAGCCTCTGCTGCTGTGGCCATCTGCTCCCGGGTGGGGACGCCGTGTGCCCCGCCCGATCCTGGTGCCCTGGCGCCCTGCTGCCCCAGGCCTCCCCCGCGGGCTCCGATGGCGTCTCTTGCTGAGACTGGATCTCGCCCACCTGCCAGCGTCTCTCTTCTTGGTCGCAGACTCTCCCTCCCGGGTCCCGGGTGATCTCTCTTTCCTGGGAGATGCGTCCACTTGGCGAAGGTCCTCGGATCCAGCTCAAGGGCCAGGGTCGTCCCCTGAGTTCCCTGGACTCCTGTTCTGCTCCTCTTTGTGGCTTCCTCCTCTGGACCTCGGGACACGGGTGCAGCAAAACCAGTGAGAAGCGCCCTTCCACGGAGACCTTGGCCGTCCGCACCCCTGTCCTGTGGGGGGAGCTGGGTGGCCACCTGGGAGCGGCGGGCACTGGGCTGGGTCCAGGCTAGAGGCGGAGGGCTGCCGCGGTTTGCCTGGCAGGGCCGGCAGGAGGGGCTGGTCTAGGGCTCGGGGTTCTCCAGGGAGCAGCAGCGGGAGGTGTCCACCAGGAGATTCTGTGGGGAATGGCTCGCAGCGTCACGGGGCCAAGAGCCCCAGCCCGGCCAGCTGCGAGCAGAGGACAGAGGGGCCGACGGCCTGGTTCCAGCTCGAGCCCAGGCCTGGGACCCGGTGCTGAGGGTGTGTCCCCGCCCAAGCCTGCAGGCAGAAGACCCGTGTCCAGCTCCAGCATGGCCTGGGGACAAGAGCAGACTCTCCGCCCGGGTTTTCTGACCAGGCCTCCCCCGAGGAGGCCCATCCACAGGGGAGGCCCTGGCGGTCCTCAGACTGCCGTTCAAAAGCCTCACCCAGAGACCCCCTCACCGACACACCCAGAAGGACATTCAGTCCCACACGTGGCGCCCGGCGGCCCATCGAGGGTCACACAAAGTGGACCACACAGCTGGAGTGGAGGGAACAGACGCGGGCAGCAGGGCCGCGAGGGCAGCGGGAGGGAGGCCGTTCGCTCCCTCTGGGGATTTGCTGGTGGATCATTAGGTGGGGTGTGGGAGGGGCCAGAGGGGACCCCAGGACCACAAGGTGAGCAGATGGCAGGTGGCACTGTGCCATCGAGGTCGGGACATCTGTGGGGAGGGCTCGTCCAGGGAGGAAGACGGGAACTCTGGTTTTTGGAATGCCGAGTTTGAGAGGTCTCTTAGAGATGGAGTGTGGGTGGAGTTGGAGGCTGGACAGCGTCAGCAGATGGCACTCACGGCCGTGGCAGGAGGTGCCATCTCAGGATGAGTAGAGATGACCGGGGAAGAGGCTGCTGGGAGGTGGGGCAGGGCCAGCAGAGGGACTGGCAGACCAGGCAGGGAGTAGGGGAGGGGCCAGGAGAGAGGCTGAGCCTCCAGGACACGAGAAGGACCACTGGAGTCAATGGTCTGAGAGGACGGGTGCAGTGGACCGAGACCTGACCACTGGCTTTAGCAGCATGGAGGTTGTTGGTGACCTTGACAAGGGCAAATTCTGTGGAGTAGTTGGAGCCTTTTGAAGAGGTTAAGGTAGAGTGGGAAGTGGAGCAGGAAAGCGAAGGTACAGATGGTCCTTCCGACATGTGTCTCCCCTCCTAGCCTTCTGCCTTGTGCGTCATTGGATTTACCAAGAGTTAACATGATTCATTGTTGCCAAAGAACCAGCAGCTGGATTTATTAGTTCCCTTTTTTTCTTTTCTATTTTTAACTCCATTTCAGTTTTAATTTATTTATTGCTTTCTTATATCTATATTGGGTTTATTTTGTCTTCCTTCTCTGGCTTTTTGAAATGGATGATTAATTCATGCATTCTTGTGTATTAATAAAAATCATTAATTTTTAAGGCTATGAATTTTCCTCTGAGCATTGCTTTGGCTGCATCACCAGGTTCTGAAATTTTTTTTTATTCCTAAAAATGGTTTTTTAATTTTTGTTTTGAAAAGTTTAACTGTTATTGTCTAAATATTTTGCAATTTTCATTAATTTATTTATTTTGCTCCCTTTGATTCGACAGTTATTTTAAAGAGTTTACATACTTCTTGGTGCTACAGTTTGTTTTCTGAGCTTGTGGTTAGTATTCTCAAATTCTATTATACTGTAATAGAGAATTCTGTTTCTACTTTTGAAAATTTAGGTCTGATAGTCCCTTTTTGTGTGTGCATTTTCAAAAGCATTTTTATAAATATCACATTGTCTTCTACTCACACCCACCCCCAGACACACACACACACACACACACACACACACAGTCATTGGCTTCCCATATTCTTACTGGTTTCTGCCCCTTCATCTGTAGTGGGCTGAGGAGGTGAGTGAAGACACAAGGCTGCAGCCCACTCTGCCCTTTCTTCCTCCATCCCCAGCGGTCCTTGCTGTGACTCCTGAAGCTCCGTCACTGCGGTCAGTTCTTCCTGACGACCTTCATCCTGGATCCGCTCACAGAGCCTTGGTTCCTCTCTCTGCTCTTTCTTGCCCACCTTCAGCTTCCCTCATCCTAAAGCCAGAGCCCCTGGTTTCCCTGGGCTGCATCTGTTTGTCATGTTTCTGCCCGTCCTCCCTTTTAAAATGGGACACGATTCACGTGACATAAGTCTTAGCGTTCAGCCATTTTTAACCGCACAGTTCCGTGGCCCTGAGTCCCGACCTCTCTGAGTCGCTCTGTCCCAGGCACCTTGTGTGATCCAGTCTGAGGGTCCTCTCTTTAGCCAGTGTGTGTGGCTTGTTGACGTCCACTGACGGGGCGGACGCGCTGGGTCTTCCTTCTCTCATCGTAGTTCATGAAATGCTTCCTGCTTTGATAACTTCTGTGGGTGCCGATTTCCCCACATGTCCTGTTTTCTTTTTGTATTTATGCCTTCTGATAATTTGGAAGGCTGTGTTTTCGAGTCCGTGGCTACCTTCGTAATCACAACGTGACACCATAGACTTAAAATCCGGTTTTTCTTATGCAGGACTTATTTCTCCCTATTAGGGAGAAGGTCGGAATCCAGAATTCTCTGCTTCCCTCCCATTTGCTCCCAGCATTTTATTTTAGTTGATTACACTTTCTATTTACCTTGATGCCTCTGACGTCACCTCAGTTTCTGAGTAATCAGACTATGAATGAATGAGTCGCAGTTGTCTGTATCGCCCCCCATCTCACCTCCGTCCGTCCCACGTGTCACATCAGTTCTTTGCTTTCTTTTTCGTCTCTTCTGTGATAACCCCCATCCCTGGATTTCTTTCAGACGTGGCCCTCGAGTTAAAGAGACTCTGTGCTCATTGCCAGGGGCTCTTCTCAAGAGTGACCCCATTGCCCCTCGGTTTGCCTAAGTGTCCTCTGTAGGGTATTTAAGAAGGGCTCGTGGGAATTATAATCTTAAATATATTCAACAGGTTTTTTGTTGATTTCATGATCACAAGATGGTTTATCGGGGCTTTAAATTCTTGGCACATTCACTCATTCAACAAATATGGATTAAGTCCCTACTGTGCGCCAGCTAGCCCCTGGTGATATGGCGATAAGCGAAGCCTGCAATCACCATGGTCCTCTGTAGCCCAGCGGACTTCCGCTACAGGGCATGGGCTGCCACGTGACCACCTCATCTGCCAAGGAGAGACTGGCGACCGCGGCTGCTCCTCCGTGGGCAGAGGCGGGATCGTGGCTCCTCCACAGGTGGGTGGTCGTCTGCTTCTCATTGTGTTGCCCACAACGACTCTCCCTGTCAAAGCTGAACGTGTCCCTGCAGGCGGTCTCCACACTCCTGCCCCTGCCCGCTGGTCTCCAGCCATCCAGGCATTTCGGGGGCACCTGCGTGTCCTCCCCACGACTGTGTATGATGTGGGCATGTTCAGTGGAGTGACTCTGAGATACATAATGGGTTTTGTCATCTTGCAGATGGCATCTGTGTGTGTTTCTAATATTTTCAGTTTGTGGTGGCACGGGGGACCAGGAAATTGGTCATCCAACCAGAGCAGTTTTGAGGGCCACGGAGGAACGATATTAAAAATTTTGTCAGCACAACCTGTTTTTTTAACTGAGACTGTGCCCAGACAAGACGGCCCACAGTGACCTGGTGACTGCCGAGGTGGATGACACTGTTGAGTCTTATGTCGACCTGGTGTCTCTCAGATGGGACTCACCCCTTTACATCTGCTCCGTCATTCTGAAAGACGTCTGTTAGTCTGTTGGATTTTCTAGGTGCTTGTCTTCAGTTCACTGCGATCCTGGTTCTGTTCCAATCCTATATCTGCATTTTTCTTCTCTTATTGCATGGGCTAGGGCACAAGTGCTGTCCAGAGCCACAGGGACAGCACGTGTTTTTGTCTTGCTCCCAGAATTATAGTCACATGATTCACCAAGTCCACAGGACACAACCTGGCCTTTTCTGTCCCTGAGACCCCAGACAAATGACCCCAGCAAGTTCCCATGGAAGAGACACTAGGTGATATTTTGTTTCCTTCTGTTTCCTCAGAAAGCCTTTTCGCCGTGCCTCAGGATGGGGGAGGTGACACCCGAAGCACCCGGTGCAGCCTCCAAGGACAACTCAGACAGAGACACCAAGAGGAGCCCAGGCGGAGGCAGCGGCAGAAGAGGAGACGCCGTCTGTGCCCAAACCCCCCTCCATGGACTTCTAGCATCAGGAGCAAACTCAGGGCTGGGGGCCGGGGTGCAGGGGAGGGTCCTGGACCACCCGTCCGCAAGCAATAGTTCTCCTTTGGGCTGGTGGCTTCTGAGGGTGACTCGTTGTGGACTCGGGTGACAAACCAAAGTGACCCTGGCCGACTTGAGCCAGAAGGGTTCCGGCCGGTGGGTCCCACCCGGGGTCCACGCACCGAGGCCTCCCTCACCTCTGCCCCCTCCTGTAGTGGCCCGGGGCCTGTGGTGTCCGAGTATCGGGTGTGAGTGTGAGTGTGTGCGTGTGTGTGATTCAGGGTGTGTGTTTGTTTGTTCGTTTGGTTAGTTTTTACTGCGGTCCCCCTGCAAGTCCTCTGATGGGCACAGGTCACCACGTGGCTGGGGTCCTGCCAGCGTCCTCGCCTAGGGCCCAGGCTTCTTGCTGCAGTCAGCAGCAGGGGGCCAGCTGGAGCTGGCCATGTGTGAGGCCAGCCTCAGTGCCTCAGGGGCCCTGGGGTCTGGACAGTGCCAGCAGGTGGTTCTTAGGGACTCGTCCCCACCACGGAATGGTAGGAGCACGCCCCAGCTGGCCGTGTGGAGGCCGCCCACTGCCACACACAGGAGCAGCTCGAGTGGGCAGGCTGCCGGGGCCACGTGGCCAGCAGGAGGTCAGCCCTCGGGTGCAGAGACCCAAAGTGCTCCACAGCCCAGGGCCCCAATGGAGAGCCATCGCTCAGCTCCCCCGCGGCCGCCCAGGGTCTCAGTTGCTCAGCACGTCCAGGTTAAGCACCTGCCCTGTGCTGGACCCTGTGCCGGGCAGTGATGGGATGAGAGGTGAGTCAGGCCTGGTGTCTGAGAAACTCGTTGATCTTTGCCAGACAGGGTGACGAGGCCAATGGAAAACCAGAGCGGAAGGTTCTAGAAGGTTCTAGAAATCCATCCACTTTAAGTGGGGACTTCCATGTAAACCTGTAACATTTGCCCATAGAGCTCACCCTCACCACCCCCTGCCCTGCTGCTGCCCCGGGCACACAGGGAAGAACAACCGGGGGACAATCCCGTCAGTCCCCAGGGCGGGCTGCAGTGTAGACGTGCTCCCTCCACAGTGTTAGGCCAAACTCTCCCAGCTCTCAGCTCGGTGGCCCTGCTCAATAAACGTGTGTCCCTCCTGCGCCCGCCGCCTCATTTCGTCGGCCCCACTGTGCGCACACCGTCCTGCTCAGCAGCGAGCAGCGCCCCCAGGCCCCTGCCCGCTGGGAGGCTGGCAGTGCCCGGCAGCAAGCAGGAGGGCGGCCGTGGTGGGGGGGCCTGCCGAGGAGTCCGTCCGTCCAAGGGACAAGGGATGAGGCTCTGTGGGGCTGGGCAGCTGGGGCGTCTCAGCCTGGACCTGCGTGACAGACCACGTGGGAGTTCAAGATGACAAAGGGACGCGGGAGCCGAGGCTGGTCCTCCTGGGCAGCAGGCGGCTCCGGCTCCAGCCCAGCAGGACGGGGTGCGGGTGGCCACGCCCTGCCCCCACTGGGAGGGCACCTGAGGGCCCTGTGGCCGCCCGACGACCCTCATCCCACTGCCCCGCCCGTCCTTTCCCGGGCTGGGCTGAGTCCCCACGCGGGGCCCTGCTGGAGCTCACGCCAGACCCAGGGACCAGGCGCCCAGAGCGGCAGGCGGAGACGTTTTGGAGGCTCATTTTAATTTTTCAACCTGGCCCATGGGTCCCCACCAAGGAGGAGCCTGTGGGAGCAAATCTGCAGCTCCCAAGCCCAAGGGGGCCCAGCGGCCCTTGGTGGGTGCGGGCACGTCCTGTCAAAGTGGAGGGACAGCGGCTTCTGCAGGGCACCCCACCCAGGAAGGCCAGGAGAGGCAGGGGACACACCTGCCCAGTGCCAGGGTCTTCCTGGCCCCCAGGCACCATCGGACGGTCAGGGGCCGAGAGTGGGCGGCGTCCCCCGCAGGAAGCCCACCTGCAAGTCAGGCACCACCCAGGCCCCGGCCCACCCGCCACATGGGTGTGTGCAGTGGCACTCGGGTGGACACGCACAACCCAGGCTGGTGGCCTGAAACTCGAGTGCCAACGTCGAGCAGCCGAAGGGACCAGGACCATCCTGGGAAATCCCAGCTCAGGCGGGCAGCCACCCACCCACCTACTCCACAGACGTCCACAGAGCGCTGGCCACGTGCCTGGGCCTCTAAACGGTGCCCACCTGGGAACCGCTCAAGGTGGTGGGAGATGTCAAAGACCCACCAGGGCCATCGGGGGGACGGGGCATGAGGCTGAGGGGCCGGGTCCACTCCACACAGCAGGAAACTCCAGGGCACGTGGCTGCAGGAGGGACGGGAAGGTCCTCTCTGTCCTGTGGACGCTGACCTCATGGAGCAGGAGTGAGGTTCCAAGAGCTGAGAGCCCAGAAAACCGAAGTCCAGTGGTATTCTTGTCACCCCAAGCCGATGCCACGAGACCCTGCTTGGCACTGACCACCCCGTGCTTTCCTCTCCCTGACCGCAGTGCTGCCCGTCGGTTCTAGGACTGCAGAGTCGCGCCGGCTGCGCCGGAGCTCAACTCTGCTGTTACGTTTCCAGGTGCTCTCGGGAGCCCACACCTGTGTGGCTGGTCACTCACCCTCTGTGGGCAGGTCAGAGGACTAGGGCCAGGGCCTGCAACAGACGGAGAGGAATGGGGACCAGTCACCGAGTCCATCCACCCTGCAGACCTCAGGGGTCTCTGGGTCAGGGCAGGTAGAGCGGCCAGGTGGGGCCACCTCGGCTCAGGGCAGAACACAGGCCGCAGCAGGCCCAGGCCTTCGGTGGACGGAGCACGCGAGGGCAGGTCAGGGACGATTGCCGTGGATGGCCTCATGGTCAGTGGCCCTGGTTAATCCACCTGACCAGCTGGCGCCCTGTGTGGGGACCTCTGCCATGGTCTGAACGCACACGCCAAAGTCCACGTCAGACACACCACCCCCAGGTTCACACGATGACGTCATGTGATGACACCGGCTGGCGGGGCCCTGCGGAGGAGATGGGAGGGCATGTTGAGGGCAAACCCTGGGCTGGCATCAGGGCCTTCAAAGGAAGAGGAACCCCAGCCGGCCACCTGCTCTGTCACCACAAGTCCCCTGCCAGGTGCCGTGGCACGCTCTCGAGGCCCCAGCCTCCAGACCCCACTCCTGAAGAGCCACCCGCTCTGGGGTCTTCACAGAAAACAGACCCAGCCAGGCCCCTCCTGGGGGTGCAGTTCTGAACCTGACCCATCAGCCCTGACCCCAGACTTGGCACACGCAGGCCACCTACGCCTGACTGGGCGTCCCCACGGGCTGCGAGCCCTGGGAGTCCCGTGCCTCCCTTAGTGGTGCCCATGGGTCACTCTGGACCCTCTCTGGCCAGGGCAGGGCCGCTCCCAAGTGCAGGACCAGGTCCTGCCCCCCGACCTCCCTGCCCTCCCCAAGGAACTTGAGTCTGCTCTCCGGGCCCTCGGGGTCC